CACCCACACACACACACACACACACACACACACACACACACACACACACACACTTAATTCAATCAGTCAAAGGATAGCGTTCAAAGCAGCGTCCAGTGTTTCTGTGCGGTGGGTTGAGTTCACTGAGGCGAGAGGCAGCTGTTTACATCTCACATGTGTCTCCAGAGCACAAACACACCTGATCACACACACACGAGGACACTCAGGAGAATTGTCCTGTGGGGACAGTGGACTGCGGCGTCCAGGGATTTAAACACGTGAGAAAAAGAAGAGGACGGGGAGTCAGAGAGGCAGAGACAAAGCAAAGGAAAGGAAAGCATCGGCTGCTCTATGAGCCCACCGTGTTGTGCGTTTCACACAGAGCAGAACAAAGAGGAGCTGATGAGAGCAGAGCTGAAACCAAAGCTGTGGGCGGGAGCAGTCGATGAGATCTTCCCATTAGACGGAGCTGCAGTGTCTCTTCCTCCTCTGAGAAACAACACGCTTTGTCTTACATGAAAGTCCTGGTGGCCTCTCGCTTCATCGTTCCGACAGGTCTGTTAATGCAGACACCTTCAGCGGGTGCATGAAATAATACACAGGAGACTTCTGCTCCTGCGGACTTTACTCAAAGAGTCTTTAAGATACCGGAGACGACATCAGGAAACCATTCTGGTACCTGCTCCCATTGCCGCCCAATTAAAATGTGGAAGTATCGGCTGGAGACCCCTCGTTGCAGATTAGTTTTGACCTGATTTAAGAGCAGCTCAACCAAAGATTGATTTTTCAGATTTATTTGAACAAGGCTGGAGAAGCTGTGCAGCTGCCACTCGGGCCCCAGACGCCATAAACACGGGTTTGACTTCATCCAGTATTTTAGTATTTTCATTTTTAAAGAAGATGAAAAGGTCATAAAACATTAATGTGATTTTTGTGTAGCAGGAATATTGTTTTCTTTCTAAATCATCTTCTCCAAACCATTTCATTCAACCTTCTCTATTATTTCAAACTCTTTTAAACACGATTCAAGAAAAATCTTGAACCTCAAGTCAGAGAAATAAAATGGAAAACACGTGATGGAGAAAAACACTTCTAACCTGTGGAAAAAATGTATACACAACTAATTTAATATTGTTGCAGAGATTAAACATCTGAGTTTCTTCTCTTGGTTGCACAAATGAACAGTTTTATTATTTTCAATCAGGACTTTTATTATTTACCCTCTAGATTAAAGCTTACCAGCGCTCTGTCTAGCTGTTGTCTGGTCCGGTAATGTCTTTAAACGTGATATAACTTCAGATTATTTTGTCTGTAACTACAATGAGGACATGATCATTGATTTCCCTGCTTTTAACCAACACTGTAACTTCAACTCTAACTCGTGGCTGTAAATGACAGAGATGTACTATTACACATTTTCACATTTAATAACTGTTCAGATGTTTCTACTGTTGAGAGAAAATGAAAATTTGAGGTTTATAAAATAGGACATTGGTCCAAATTACGAGTTTGCACTGAATATAAAAAGACACTGTTGTTATAAAGAGGATTATACAACCATATAATATTTATTTCAAGTGAATGCTTTGCTCCCATTGTTTTTATTTGCCTAAGTTTTATCCTAATGTTTACAAGGTGAGAAGTCGCAGCTGTTAATGTAATGATGTGCATCATATTTGTAAATGTGTGTGTGTGTGTGTGTGTGTGTGTGTGTGTGTGTTTCTCCGTGTGCTGCTCTGCTGGACTGATCAGATCAGACCGGGGTGGATGGGCGACACTGTGAGGTCAAGTAGAGGAACGTGACGCTGTAACCTGTGAGATGTCGCACAAACTATTACATGAAAATAAAAGTGAACATACTCTGCGATGAAATAGACAAAACTGATCCGAGTCTGACGATGGACCTTGTAAAGTTATTAAAGGACACAGTTCAATGTCGTCACGTGGCTCTATAGCGTTATACTGATATGAGAATTGGCGTGAATCCCAAAAATGTCAAACATATATCCTGAAGAGATCTTCTCTTGCCTGCATGTATCGTCCTGTGCATGGCAGCTACGTGGGTTTCGAATGGTGTCCCTCGTTCAGAATACATGGACTGACGTGTGCTTGCCTTACATAAAAGCCCTGTTGTCCTTGTGTGCAGGCCACAGATTGTAAATAAAGATGGACGACGCGTCTCCACTTTGTCCCGTTGTGTAAAAATGTAGCTAAAATATCCCGGATGCAGGATTTGGGACTTTTTTTCACTTGTGACGTCAGAGACTGTGCATGTGGTGATCATGGAGTGGAACCACGGTGTTGAGGTCACAACGATAAATGCTCAACCAATATAAACTGGGAAAAAATGAACATCTGAACAAACATAAGTGCGATAGGCTGCGTCTGATGCACTAACATGGAGGAGACGGCGTCTATGACCTATGCTGTAGCCAGCCACCAGGGGCGATCAAGATGTTCTGGCTTCACTTTTAGGAGCCGTCATGTCGTCCGTCTTTATTTACAGTCAGAATTCAGGGCCCCACACCGCTGTCAGGGGCCCCGGGTGTCTTCACAGTGCCCCCTGCAGGACAGTGTACTCTCCCTGTGAAAACCTCAGCACACTTCCTGTGCCTCTGGACAAAGTTGCCAATACACTGACTGAACGGTGTGCGTGTGTGTGTGTGTGTGTGTG